TTTTTTCCACATCATTTCTCTGCTTCCTTTACTATAAATATATACAAACCATCTTAAAAATTATTATGGTATTACTTTCTAAATTTGGACGCTGGTTGGGCTGCAAGGTTGATTTTGGGAGTACAACTGTGTCCCCTCGGAGCACGGGGCACCCAGCACTGTGCAGAGACCCATTGAAGGACCCTTCATCCTAGTGTTACCCTCTTGGGGGCATTATCCTCCCACTGCGCCCGGATGGTGGGCCGGTGTCTGCCCACGGCTTCTTACCACCTCTGCTCTCCCCTACACAGCGGGAAGCACCAAGTATTTTGGCACAGCCAAAGTCCGCTATGACTTCTGCGCCAGGGACCGATCCGAGCTGAACCTCAAGGAGGGTGACATTGTCAAGATCCTTAAGAAGAAAGGGCAACAAGGCTGGTGGCGAGGGGAGATCTATGGCCGGGTGAGTCAGGGCGGAGCTTGGCATCTCAGGCATCCTGTCAGTGAAGCAGCTGTACTGGAATTATGGGCTGGAGCAGCTGGGGAGTGGCTCATGGGAGGCCTTACCTGGTTAAGGGGAGTGAGGGACATAGAGGTTTCATTCATTGATGCAACTTGCATTTACTTATTGAGCACCTACTATGTGCCAGGCCTGCTGAGTGCAGGGAAGACAAAAATGAGCACAGTACAATCCCTGCCCTCGTGAAACTCATAGTCTAGTGAAGAGGACAAACCTGTAATCAAGGAGTTGCAATGCTGAATGGCCAACATTGTAATGGGGAATCGCTGGGCAGCATGAAAGCCCTAAGGGGCGCAGGTCAGGACAGCTTATAAGAGGCCAAGCTGACCGCTGAGGGTTTTTTGTCTCTCGTTCACTGTAGTATCACCAGTGCCTGGCACACAGTAGGTGCTCAATAAAATATTGAGTGCATGAAGAGGCAGAGCTGGGATTAACCACTTTTTCCCTTTGTACTTTTTCGCCTGTCTGAATTCAGACTGTCAGGCGGGACCTCAAGATTTCTCAAAAATGTTTGTTTCTGCCTGGTTTTTATGTTTGTTTTACAAAGGCAGAGAGTCTTTATTCCATCTGTTGATGAATCCCTAACCTCTAGAGTGCTGCCTCACTTGTAATGGTTTCTCAGAAATAATTGTTGAATAAAGACAAAGAATGGGTTAGGACAGCCGTGGGCAAACTACGGCCCGCGGGCCGGATCCGGCCCGT